CAAGAAGAAGAACAAGAAGAAGAACAAGAAGAAGAACAAGAAGAAGAAGAAGAAGAAATCCTACAGAGAACATTTTGTGTCATACCCTCTTTTTATATCTTGTCATAGGAGGGACTTTCAGCAGGCACTTCCAGATCATCCAAATTGGTTGGACTGAATCTATCTTTTTAAATACCCTGATTCAACACCATATAATATAGGGCTTTATGGTAATGACAATACTTTGTGCTGTACTTAAAAATACTAATAACCATTGCAATTTCTGAATGTTATAATGTAGGCATACCAAGACTGCTCAGTATGCACTTGGGCTGCTGCATTGTAGACTAGCTGAAGTCTCTGGTGGTCCTCAAGGGAAGTCCCAGAGATTATAAATATATTTGTGAGTAACCTCAATGTATCCTGTTCAAATTAGATCAGAATGGATGTACCAGTATTACAGGGAGACAAAGGCCCTCTGGGTCAAAGCTTCTGTTTGCTCTTTCTGAGAGAGTACAATCCCATTGAAAGCCAGTTGGTATTATTACATTATGGAATCAACAGGCTTCAGAATTAACAGTCATTCCATTTTACTTGAGTACAAACCTGTATCTCTTTGCATTCTAACAGTGTCCAGGCACTGAGAAAGGATTTCTATTGCATCCTCTATTTTTTTGGTGACATACACCAATGGTACAACGTTTTATAAACATCTTAAAGATTATAACAATGTACATTTAAGTTCTTTCAACCAAATATAGATCCAGCTGTATATTATAACCAAACTTTTTATCCCACTTTATCATACTTCACTTGGAATGGTATGTGAGAAAGACCTTGAGAAACAAGGAGAAAGATGCTGCTCAGTGAACAATCTGATTAGAAAGGATACAGCCTGCAGCAGCCTAATGGGTGGAGAAAGAGGCTCAGAACCCTAACTTTTCAGACTGTAAAGGAAATGTCAAGATATTTGTACTGTCAGATTTGCAAGATTCTGTCTTATAATAAAGTAAAGTATCTCGAATGGTCTATTTCCTGTCTAGTTAGGAAGCTGACACTTGTTTTTCTGTTTCAAATTTCAATGGAAGTTTATACATTTTAGAAATTACATGTTCCCCATTTGTATATAATTGCATTTCAGACTCAGTCTTACAATGTTCAAAACCATAAACTCTAGTCTATTTTAAATCTTTCTAATAAGTGTAAATAGAACCAATCGCAAGTACACAATCAGATTTTTTCTTGATTCTATGTTGTATTTCCATATGTGTTTGCCTATTGTCTATAAAATACTTCTTGTTCTGAGAGCTACAATGGTGTTTTTAAATACCACCTGCATGTGTATTTATTCCATATTCTCAATATGTCATGTCTAACAATGATTTTTTACTAAAATAAAAAATAGAAAAGAAATGAGTATTGTAAAGAAATAAATAAAGAGAATTGATTTTCCTCTTCATAACAACAAGCATACACAATTTTACCTCCTCTTAAAATACAACAAATGAAGTCTTCTTTTCATATCTTTTACTTATAAATAAATCAATAAAACCTTGTTCAGTCCTGGTCAGCAGAATTCAAATAATATTCTAGAACTAGATTTCTTCTAATTTTTTCTTTGCCTTGTCTCATAAAATTCTTCAAAACTGTAAGAAATCTCTTTTGTAAATTCAGTATAAGAACGTTATTCAGATCACTTTTTTTGGTTTGTACCTAGTGTATTATATCCTTCCACATCATTTCTGTATTTCATCAGTTTTAAATCTACTTTCATATCAGTTTCAGTCCTATCCAGTAAAATGTGCTCCTTCATAGCATTTTCCAATTATATAATGGCAGACACTCTTAAAATTAACTTTTCGATCATTTATTCACAAATATATTTCAATATGTCCAATACACTCAGTCATTCTAGACCTGGTCATCTTATGGTTGGACTACATGGAGCTATCCTTGAAGAGTATCTGGAAGCTTCAGTTGTTACAGAACACATCTGTGTGGACAATGTTACACCACTATTCCGCAAGCTGCACTGCTTTCTGGGTCCAGTTTATCACCTTTAAAGCTCTTCGTGGCATGGGCTAAGATTATTTGAGGAACCTTTCCCAGGCCAGCAGAAGAGGTGTGCTGTGGATCCCATTGGTCAACTGGCAGAGTTCAGGAGAAGAGCCTTTTTTGCTGTGGCATCCATCTTCGGGAATGTTGTGCTCCCCAAGATGATATCTACACCCACCCTTTTGGCCTGATTCTGCCAACTAACCTGGGACCACAAAAGGGGAGTGGCATCCTGGAGTTGATTAATAAATTAGCAATAGCAAAAGGACTTAGACTTATATAATGCTCCAGAGTGCTTTACAGCACCCTCTGAAAAGTTTACATCAGTAATCTGGGTCCCCATTTTACTGACCTTGGAAGGCTGAGCCAACCTTGAGCCAGTGAAGGTCAAATTTCTGGCAGTGAGTGGAGTTAACTTTTGAAAATTAGTGTTCCAACTGTCCTTTTGCAGTTTATTCCAAAAAGATAGATTTTTTGAAATCCTTAAAATTGTATAATGTCCTTTTTTCACTGAAGACTGAAATGTAGTAAAACTTGCTGTTATTGAGTTTCCTGATATCTGAAAAATAGTTAACAGGCAATTTCTGAAATGATTAAGAAAGTATGTGGACTCAGAGTTTATAAAGGTGCTGACTACATTTTGGACAAAGATGACAATTGCTT